TGGCCATGGGCTGGAGCCCATTTCCTGTGGAAAAGCAGCACTGTTGTGACTCTGCTTTTAGAGACTTTCTTTAGGATCTATTCATGATAGATGTCCGCATTGACTTCCATGGTGTTATACAAAAATCAATGAAGCCTTGTTCAAACTAGAGAACTCCCGAGCTTCGCCGCAAAATTTTGTGTAATCATTCGATGTTATGGTTCACTGTATTATAAAGTTGATTTTCTTTGAGTTATCATGCACATTAAGTTAGAACGTTTTTTATAGCGCATATAATTTTTCGCCACCCTGTAGGTATCATCTCGTTGAATTGCGGGACTAACCGTTGACCCTTCCTTGTTTGAAAAGCTCATTACCTGCCTGTTATACTTCAGTTGAAAGCTCCAAGTGAATAACAAGGAAGGCATAAGGCAAGCAGTGCGAAAAAAAAATCGAAAATCTGTCAGCAAAAGAAGGGCAACTGAGCAGGAATGGCAATCGGATTCCCATAGGACTTTGAATGGAGACACAAACATCTAAACTAAAACTGCAAAATGAACCTGCCAAGGAAGTTGTGAGCAGTCAAAGTTGGCTGGAAGTGAAGCATTACGTGCTAGCCTCCGGGCTTTCAGAAGTCGCCGTGGAGTAGTGGTAGTGCTCTCAAAATTTGCACTCCAACAGGAAGAGAACTTATGACCTCCCGGGTGGAGAGCGGGGCACTATCGCTACTCCGCGGCGACTCTGAAAGCCTGGAGGCAGCACGGTTCATATGTAACGCTTTACTTTAGCCAACTTTGACTGCTCACAACTTCCTTGGCAGGTTCATTTTGCAGTTTTAGTTTCCATATTTGTAATCAGCGTTTGAAGCTCTATCGATATATCTGGGTCTCATCTCAAGTTCCATGGGAAGTTGAATGCCTCCCATGGGATCGAATTTGTCAGAGTGGCGAAAAATGATGTTCTTTTAAAGCTTTCTTTGCTCGCCAGATTCTCTCAAAGCTATAGCGTTATAAACTGCTTGTACAGTTGATTACCTTACAGCGATGGAAGAAATCAAACAAAAAAGA